CCATCCAAAAACACGTCTAGCAGTGTAGGTCTCATTTCAAATGGCCACTTCGACTTGGGATCCTTCCCTGGTGAGGCAGATGTTTGACGTAAGTAGCCAATAGTGATATTGAAGCGGATACGGTCTCTCTGTTGAGCTCTGATCCACATAGAACGCTTTCAACTCCTCGTAACTGGAAATTGCTGCTTAGGCAACAAGAGCGTTAGAAAATGTTAGAACTGAAAACGAGCCACACATTCTCAATCGCGAACCTCCTATTCGCGTTGCCAAGCTTTCGTACAACTCGATGTTTTGGCAAAGTGGCGAGAATACTTACGCCACCGACTTCTCTGCTGTCGCATGTTTATTGGAAGAGTTCTCTCCAGTCTTGAAAACGGCATGTGCAAAGGGTACTGTCTTGCGAGTTGTTCTCAAGCTGCTAGCCAGGCTGCCCTAGAGTGAACGAGGGGAATATTCAACATGACTTTAAAGTGCCCCTTGGTCTTTCTCAGTCACTCGAGTGGAAAGCTTTATCATATGCAGCATGCAGGATACCAACCACACAGTTAAACTTGCCGCTTATTCGTGCATGCTTGGGAATCTGAAGACCATAGAGCTCACGATAATTTTGTGTTATTTAGTTTTGGACATTGTAATGAGAGTGATAGTTCAAAAATATTGCAAAGATGGCGGAAACCGGCGTATTCAGAGGAATGGGCTTTGAAGAAGACGCTAACTTAGGAATTGGACGCGAATGTGGCGACAAAGTATGCATGGAAAAGGTATCTGAACGAGCTATGCAAATGCGCGCGTGATTGCATAAAACTGGCTGCGGTGAGCTGCCTGCGTGCAAGGTGTGGGTCCCGGTGCGAATGGTGCTGCTTCTACAGCTTTTACAACGCTCAAGAACTTGTCGGTTCGGGGTGTGTACGTCGGCATAGCCGGTTTTGGGGGCCCTATCTCGGCTGTTTTTCGACTCCACAGCGTCTCTTAGGCTGTCTTTGAAGGTCACAGGTTCTCCCAAGGAGGTTTTTTCAGGAACCATTTTTAACATGAACTGTGCCTTTTAGAAATGATTCGACTCCAGTTTCTGGGCCAACACTGCGGGTTTTGGTCTGTGAATTTTTCCCTTCAAGCCACTTCACTTCACTCGCCAATACAGTGATCGGCCTCTCTACCGAGCTCAGCGAACTGGTATCGTTCTGTGAAGTAGAAACATTGTTACTATAATTATCACAACTGCTCATTTCAGAATAGCAAGGAAAGATGTAAATAGAAGCATAATCATCGTATCAAATTTGGTGCTTTCCGCAGTGTACTAGTTTTCTTCATTATCCTCTGTTACTTTGGCTTTGACTCCTCAAAGCATTTAACATTATATGTTTAGAAAATTTTTGAATAGAGTTGTTCACTGTCCACTGTCCGATCCTGGAAACTATTGGACTATAAGCTTGGCCTCTACTTTTGCCAGAGTTTTCGAGAAAATTCTCAGTAAATACATGGTTTTTCATCTTGGTAAGTTTGGTATAATGCCAAATTCCCTTCATGGTTTTTGTAAATGTAGATGTATTGAGACTTCTTTACTGGAATGTCTCAGTGACTGGACAACCCTTTGTATCGGGGAAAGGCGTAGATGTCGTTTATTTCGATTTCCAAAAAGCATGTGATAAGGTTTCTCACGAATTATTGGTTCAAAAGCTATCTTGATTTCCATCTTCTGGTGAGGAATTGGATAAGAGTTTCTGTATAATAATACTTTTCAAGTTTTATTGAAGGACTCTTTCTCATCACTTCGTACCATGAAACTAGGAGTACCCCAAGGTGTGGTACTCTCACCGGTTTTGTTTAACACATTTACTTCAGATTTTCCTTGGTTTCTTAAGATCTTGATATTGTTTGCAACCTTTATGCATATGACATGAAAATCTATAAAGAAGTTTTCGAAGTTGGTTCTGACATAAATCTCCAAAAAGCAATTGTAAAGTAGCTGAATGGTCTAAAATGATTCACATCCCACTTTCCATCGAGACTCGAAATGCTTCATATCGTTTGCGTGGCTCGACTCTTGAAGTGATCCGTATCAGAAATCCGTGACCTGGGATTTCATTATGATATAAGGTTGATGCATAATTATTGCGGAATTATTCGCGACTTTTTTTTCCTATATAGAATTTGAATATTGAGTTCGGGATTTTTCTAGAAATGGTCTGCTTCTTTTCTCTCCAAAAATGTACTTGGAAACCATCCGCCTATTCGCGAGATTAAGCTCTAGTACTTCGAGGAAGATCGGAAGATGGCAGAACCATTCCGCGATCTCAGTAATTTTTCGACCATGGAACAATTAGCCAAAGTCAACCAAGAGATGGGATCTGCTCCTAAATCTGCCATGTTCATCAGCAGAAACTTCTATGGATCATCTCGTCAACCGTTCGCTGAAAAATGGCTAGGGAATAGAACTTGCGTCGATTTGGATGACTTGATTTGGCCGATGTCGAGGCGCGGATCGTCCCCAAGGATCAAAACTTCTTCGCTTTTGGAATTCGACTATCTAGCCAATGGGAGGCAGTGGTTGACGTAGATGGTGGATAAGTTCCGGAGTAAATATTTGAACATGTTTTTGTTCAGTATTTTTATCGCTTCGTTATATAAATTTTGTTGAAAATAATCCGCAATAATTATGCATCAACCTAATAGATTCTTAACTTTTCCAATCATTACAAAGTATAAGTTTCAAAAGCCCTCCGTCGGAGTTTCAATGTTTCCAAGGTGCTTCGCACTAATGACTCTAAAACTTTGCTTGGGGCTTTCAAGGTTTACGTTCGTCCCATTTTGGAACGTGGATATATTGTTTTCACACCCTATAAGAAAAACAGATATTTATGTTTTAGAAGGAGTACAAAATAGTTTCACTCGTAAACTTATGATGCGAAGTCATCATTTAAGTTATAATGAAATATTTAGTGGAAGGGAGCGTAATAAGATACTTGGTCTAAAATCCTTAAATGGAGAAAAATGAAACTTGATATACTTATGGCATATAGAATTTTCAATGACATAACTATCGTGGTTATTTCTAAATTTTTCACAATCGTGTCTTCTAACACGCGAGAATCCTCAGCTAAGATTTTAACCATGCCACCAAGAACACAAATTAAGTCACAGTTTTTCAGTAACAGCGTTAGCTTCTAGCTTCAATTCTCTTTTACGCCGTAATCTCATCTCTCCGAGTTATTGTACTTTCAGGAAATCTATTGACCAGTTGATTTCACTTAATTGAGTTTATTATAGGATCTTGTTGTTTGTTTCATTTCCTTGTTCTACGTTCATTTGTTTCCCTGATTTCACATGCTTACAGCAAGTCCGTTAAATGAACAAATAAATATCTTGAATATAGATAGTGTATGCTAGCACATAGTGGCATGGTCAAGCGGCCCGGCTTTTAGAGAATTTTTTTAAAAACTTGTTAAACTTCATAAAAACCTTTTACGTGTTTGAAGTGTCTATGATGTGTGCTGAGTTAAAGGCACGGTTCACGATAAAAATGGTTATTGAGTGAATGCTCCCCTTAGAAATACTCACCGGCCCCCAAGGATGATAAAAAGGACCCTCTCGCGCCCGAAAACTCGACTTTCAGGGCATAGTGGAAGCCCTGTTCCCGGCTCGCGAGGCCTTCCCGCCCCTCGACCGATGTCACGTCAAGTGAGCGTCCAGGCGAGACAGATTGCAATTATTCGTTTTGAGGCCCCACACAATTAGCTGATCGCTGAGTGATGAGGTGGTGTTTTTCTCCCATTCTTTTTTCCTCTGTTATTCTTTTTTTTTGCCACGATCCCTTATTTAATTTCCTACCCGAAGAAGCTGAAAAAGGTGAGCTATATTTGCTGTTACTAGGGTTTTTGTTTACTTATGCTTATAAGTGAATGAGTTTTTGCTTACCGTAGTCAGTTATTTGCACCAGGACCGACACGTATGCAATGACGCGCTGTGCGTAGCTCGTCCAAACACCCCACTCTTCTTCATTCTTCTGGTCTCATTCTCGTCGCCCCCTTTGTAACGATTTTTCGGAGCCTTTTTCATTTTGGAAACACCGATTCACGCAGTTCCTTCGCCTTCATCGCACTATTTTCCATCTTGTCTTCCATTTTTCGTCATAATCTGGATTATCCAAAATTATCGTAAACTGTGCCTTTAACGTATAAGTAATTGTGGGCGTGTGATGTAGTACATGAACGACGTGCCACGCTTGCTCTCCTCCTGCACGTGTCCGGGCGCGCAGTGCGAGGGCACAATCTAAATTTCCAATGGGTTATTACGGTAATTATCTCGAGACCATTGTCGCGTGCACATTCTGACTGCGAGACTTCGGGTAGTAAGTCCGCAAAGCATAGTTTCCAACGTTCATACACTGTTCAGATTGTTCAACACAGGTAGTTCTAAAATCGCTTATGATGTGTAATGCGTAACTTATTCTTTTCTCTTTTTTTCTATTTTTCTCGTTCCAGCTCCTTCGAGTGACGGCGATTCTCAGCTGAATGTACAAGAAAAGTTGATGAGTGTATATTTGAGTGAGCAACAGCAACATGGTGTCTCTTACAATGTTCTCACTTGTGATCAGGAACAATTAGTGGTATGTTACTTGTTTTTGGCATTCCATCACAAGGTTCAAGTTTTGTCGGGAACATGCTTCTCCTTCCACTCTACATTCGACTTGCACATTAGAACTAATCTCTCCCCACTTTGCTTCTGCTCTGTCGCTGTTTTTGCGCAAGAGGCAAATGAACTGGAAAGGCGGGCATCCTTTAACAACCGTCTGTGTTTTAACCATTAGGTTGTTGCATAAGTATTTTCCACCGGTTTTGATCCTCCCGTATTTCGTTTGCATGGATGTTGGTAGTTCGACATCACGTGTGCGTGATGCCGCACTACCAACGTCCATAATGGTGCATACCTCCATGCATGATAATATTTCATCACACTGGCTATCACTCGCCCACCCTGCATATACAGGTCACAGTGCCGTTCTAAAGTTCGAAGTTCGACACAGGATAAGGTCAGAGAGGCACTCGACGACTTCTTCGAGTCCCAGCCCCGTCCCTCTAGGAGAGCGGAATCGACAAGCAGCCTAAGCGTTGGCGTCGAGCAGTGGATGGTGACGGTGCACATTCCTAATCTTTACGCTGGTTCGCTATTGTGATATTTACAAAAAGGTCGGGGGAATGAGCTTATGCATCAAGCTAATATCGACTCAGCGCAGTTGAGATTGATATTAACCTGAGACGACTTTCATTCACTGGCAATCCAGAGAATTATTATGAATTATCGGAATTTTTTGAGAATATAGTATAACTACTTGTATCACCAATACATCAAACAAGCATCACTGGCATACACACATTCATACACATTCACATTTTTTCTTCTGAATTTGTTTTAAAGGCGGCAAGAATCTAGATCGCGTAGTGTATCTTACTATATCCTAAATCTTATCCGAATCCGAACCGCTTGTTTTTCTGTTTTTGCTTTGTCTGAGTTTTTGCAGGGACGCGGTTACTACGGGCGGTATCTTCTCCCCGAAAACGGTGTCGCATTTGCCGCACCCGATCGCACTCAGTCGCGCGCTTCGAAGGGAAAGGTTTGAATTTCCAGTGCATGGGTAAGGTAGCCGCCGCGTTACCATTGCCGAAGTTCTGACAACCCGGTTACTACTACTATTAAGTGGAGTAGTTAGACGGCAAATGGGCGCATATCCCTGTAAACATGAGACAGGCCCAAATTTAAAAGGTTTTGGTAGCACATATTTCCTCAAAAAGAAAACATTATTCATAACATTGTTTATTAATTAT